GAATAATTACTTCCATTTTGACAGGCTACCATTTTAAAAATTGCTCATAGATCTACACTTAAATACTGGGTAAATCTCAGAAGTTAGGAAGAAATGGTCTGTTATTCCCCAAAGTGATGCTTTCAATATATTTTCTCAAAAGTTACTGACTTGTGGAACTGGTATCCATTTAAGTCCTTTAGCTCAACTTTTAAAGTGAAATACCTGTTTTAAAATATCATTATTACATATATCTGCTGTTATGTAAAGTCATGGAGAGATTAATATTTTAATCATATGACTAGTTAGAAAGCACTATTTTTCATAATACCTCAGCTCTAAGTATTTCTTAAAGCAGAAATGAGAAAATGTGGTTGCATAACCAGAAGTGATGTGGAGGAACAAGCATCAGTTGTAATAGCAGGGATAACTTTTGAGCAACTTTATAGTAAAATTGACCAAGCTTTCTGCTATGAATAAATGTTTAAAGAACTACTACCCTGTTACATGAAGGAGAGTAGTTTGTGGTGTAACATAGATACTTGAAGCATTTACCTTTCTGTAGAAACTTTCTGAGATGAATAGAAAAAAAAGCTTGACGTTTGCCTTCTTTCAGGTCATTCTAAGGGAAAGTGCCCTGAATCTTAATTAACTTTTTTTTTCTAGTGACCCTGTCACAGACAAACCATTTCAGAAAACTAATATGTCAAGAAAGCTTTCTATGGCTTTAATAATAATGGAGTGCTTAAAGCTTTACGGGAAAGCATTTGGTCAAGCATTTATACTTTCACTAAGTATTTTAAGCTGGATGAACCATTCTTAGCAGACTTGCCTTGGTTGGGGATAAACAAGGATTACTTTTTCTATTATATCCCCTTTTCTGTAATATATACATTTAAAAATACTGTAGCACTAGCACTAATTCTTTTTTTTTTTGCTATAATTCATATAGTAGATTAAATGGTTCTAAAGATAATATCATGTTCTTTGAATGTTCTTTGTAACTGTCTTTCTCCAGAAATGTTTTCAGGGGCAAGTGTCAAGCAGTGATGTGGTGATAAGGAGCCAAATCTCTAGACAGCTGTTCCATTCATGTTTTGATTTGGTGATTCTAAAGAAGTGGGTGCTATGCAGTGATGCCGGTAATCTCTTTTGTATGATAACTGAAAAAATGCTTCTTTAAATGAGGATTTATGAACATCTAAGAAAGGAAAAATATTTGAAGCAAAAACCTTATAATATTTTTTTTTTGTTTCTATTGTGAAAGATGTTTTCCTTTTAAGATGTATTTTAAATTTGAGATTTTTGTTGCAGACTTTAGGATAATTGGTAAAAGAGAAAGATTCTTTCAGTACAGTTAACCAGTATTTGCCAGCTAATGGACACCATGATCAAGAGAAAATCCTGTATCCTAGGAATTTGAGGAAGGGCTATTGCACTGTACGGTGTATCTTTACCCACAAAGTAAACCAGAGGTACAGAAGGATGTGCTTTCAGTGATCATAGATTTTAGGAATAAGAATACCTCTCAAATCTTGAATCCTTTTGCTCAAACTAATGTATTATAGATATTTAGTTCAATATTTGGTTGGAAGTGTAGCTGAGGTCAAATCTTGAATTCTGTTTCCTCCAGATCTGTTAATCTGAATATTGATACTGTTTTTGCAAAGAAGCCTGTAATTTTGCTTGAGATACCATATTGAGATACCAAATCCTTTGGAGCTGGTCTAAAAGCAAATTTGAATTGGGGACTTTATCCCTTCTCTTACATGCCATTGTCCAAAGTTTACTGGTACTTGCCTAATACATTAGAAGCTGGCTTGTGCAGAGACAACTTCTGATTTAACAAAGGTGATCCATGATTATGGTTGACTCTGTGGTGGAGTTCATCTGTCCTGTAGAACTGAAAACTTCACCAGGTTGCACTGGAATTTAGTGACTGCTTTAATACCATATTAAGCTGAAGCTGGTGAAGGTGAGAATGATTTTTGGTATTTACATCAGTTTGGAGGTGATTGTGGTGTATCAAGAGGGACGAGTAAAGAGGAGAGTCTGGCATGTCTGATTCTCATCCAGAACTACTGAATGTGACTGCTCTGACAAGGGCAGAGCTGCTCAGATGTCCCATTTTTTACTATCCAGTGTATCTAATTCAGAGATAGTTTATAAGCTTCAGTTCAATAATAAACCTGAATTTCTTTGTTCTTGTGCTCTTGGGGCAAGTAATCCCTAAATGTGGAACATGGCAAGCACCAATGCAATTTATATGTGAGCAATCTTGTGTAAGAGCTAACCTGGATCTTCCAGGCTTACTCACTTCTGTAACACTGGCAGATAAACAGGATTTGCTAATTCTGTAACTAAAATTTGTTTTACTGTGTGCTGCATTTGTACACTTAGGTTTGCATCCTTCTGCTATTTGATTGAAAGCAGTGAATAAGTAATAACAGTAAGTTAGTGACTGATACTTTGAGTGTTTCTATATCTATGAAATATTTCAAAATAAACCTTTGATCAGATATTTCCAATTTGATATAAAAGGGAGATAAACCAATAGTTTAAACAAAATGCAGTGCCTGCTCAAATTGAATAATTTGTTTTCTCCTGAAAGTATTCCTTCAATATCATAAATGGGTTTTATTTATGGAATAATCAACTGAAATGTTTCAAAGCCTTTTAGTTTTGTTATGTGGGAGCAAAAATGCTTTGTGACTGCATTGTAAGCCATATTTTACTAACCTTTGTGCTTTTAAGCTACACGTAGAGGTACTGTGCTTTCAAATCAGCAGAATTTCAACTTGCAACACAATCTTCTTTTGCTTCAGACTTGTCAAATCAAATATTTGGAGTCTCAGTGCACAGAAAAGAATAGTTCAGTGGATCTCAGGATACAGACAATACATTTTCATATTCATTAAATGTGTCTAGAATATGTCATCTGTGCAGTCCTTGTATAGCTTCTGTAATGTCTGACTTTGGTGCTAGAGATTTCATGGTTTTTAAAAGATGCCAACTTTTGGAGGTATTAAAGTTTGGTAGGTCAAGTTTTAGATTTACACAACATTAAGCTACTTGGTTTTAACTAAAAGAATACAGCTGCAGTAAAGAGTAACTGCTTCTTTTTGTTGCCAGTAGCTTAAAATGCTATTATATGTAGACATAAGTAATCTTAAGTAATGCTTGAAAAAATGAGGTGTTATTTCACTACATGAAAGCTTTATTTTGAGCTAAACTATGAGCTATACTAAACTGTGAGCTTCCTTTCAGGAAACTCTGGATAGGGAATAATTGACTCTCAAAGTTCAAATTTGTAACAAATTGTTGCAATTTGTTTGCTTTCCTTAGTTGTACCTTCAGAAACAATAAAATCAGAAGTCCCAGTTAAAAGGAATTTCTAGAGAACATCTGCACCTTCAGATGTTCAACCTTCTGTTGAAATGATGGTAAATTAAATTGCACAGGACTCCATCAGTGGCCTGAGTCCTGAATATTCTCAGCAAGGGAAATTTCTACTTGTATCTGTTCAATCTTTCTGATGAATATTTTTCTTGACTGTATCTTAGGACCTATATAGGTCTTAGGTCTTAATGGTCTTAGGACCATTTTTTTTAAAACATTAAAGAAACTGCCCGAGAATTTTTTGATGTGACCTGATAATTTAAGAAAAGACTGGTTCATGGAAGGCCTTAAATTTAATAGTTTGTGGACTATATTAATCTATAAGCCATTTTCTTAATAGTATTGTCACAGTTCTACATTGGGAATTAAAACTAGTAAGAGGAATAAACTTGTATTTTCATATTTAGTTGACCTTTAATGCTTGCTTTCCTTTTTGTCTAAAACTGAGAGAAAAAAGCTTTACTGGAGTTGTAGACTTTCTGCATTTTAGGGTGAGTGCAGCTGGGCCTTTGTTCCATCATCATTTCCAGTTCAGGAACAAGAGATTTGGGACTGCCATTGCCCCATTGTGAAGTCCTTTCAAATAACTCCAGGTGAACAGGGAAAGGGCCCATCTTGGCTCTTCAGTGACACGGCAGTAGAAGGACAAGCAAAGAACTTGCAAACTGTTTTATAAATTTGGGCCACAAAGCTTAAGCTTGTTTGCTGTTCAGCAATTTTATTTCTGCCTAAAACTATCTTCTTAACATGATTGTGTCACTTCAGTTGTTGAGTACCTCAACCTTCTAATCTGTTGTAACCAGTTTTCCATCATGATTTATCAGTGGGAGGTAACATCTTTTTAACCTTCTTTTTCTGGTTGGGTCATCTGGAGGAACCCTTTCTGTTACTCTTTGTGTCTTTTGCCAGATTCAGTTTCAGCTTCATCTGGGCCTTCCTCACCCCAGCTCTACACATCCAGAACTTCTCTATATATCTTCTTCTCTATAGACCCTGAGGGCAGTCTCTCAGGATATCCTACTGATCCCACTGCTCCCCAAAGAGCAAGAAATCTGCTTTCCTAAAGTTCATGAGCCCAGCTGTATTCCTCATGTGATCCATTTCCAATGCACCATCCCTGCCTCCAATCTTGGTGTCCCCAGTGAGCTCATCTGTGTTGGTGGCCAACAGGTCCAGTAACACCTCCCCTCTGGTAGGTCTGTCTGTTACCTGGCTCAGGAAGTTATCCCACATGCATTCCAGGAGTCTCCAGGGTTGCCTGTGGCTCACCTTGCCACTTTCCCAGGAGATGTTGGGGTGGTTGGAGTCCCTCAGCAGGACAAAAGCCTTGGGCACGATGCTTCCTCTTAGCTGGAGCAAGATGACTTTATCAACAGGCTCCCTTTGATCTGGCAGCCTGTAGTGGACACCAAGTTATCCTTGAGTTCAGATATTTCTGTGTTGTTAGAGCCACTGGCATTCTATTAATTGTACTATACAATTGTACTTAATGTTTTTTTGGTTTTTTTAATTTATGGTCTAATCATTTGCATCTCTGACCAAAAGTTGTTTCAGCAAAATGTCTCTTTTAATTTTCTCATTGCCCATTAATTTACAATTAGAAATCTTTTGTTTTCTTACAGTTCAACTTTGTGGGAAAACTTTTGGGTCCACGTGGTAATTCCCTAAAGCGTTTACAGGAAGAAACACTGACAAAAATGTCTATTTTGGGAAAAGGTTCTATGAGGGACAAGACAAAGGTAAGGCCTGATTATGTCAGTGGAATTTTGTTACATAACTTAAATTTCTGAGGAGGGGAACAAACCTTGTGATGATAATTGGAACAAATAAAAAGCATAAGAGATCCTAATACTGTTTATTGGTTAATGTTTCTCTTTGGCCAGTCAAGCCAAGATTCCACATGCAGTGGGCAAACCAAGCCAATAGATGTCAAGCAATGCAAGATGGAATTTTATGGGATCTAAATTACTGTCAAAAAGGGACATTGGAATGGGAACAATGTGGCTTCTGTATTGGTTTTTTTGGGAAATGAAAAAAACCTGAAATGCTTCATGTGTTCTCAAGGTTGTGAGATGCAGCCAGTGAGTGAGCTGATTTTCATTTGTGTGGTGTTATAAGAGCCTTAGTGTGTAGTGTTTTCATAGAATCACAGAATATCCCAAGTTAGAAGGTACCTGCATGGATCATCAAAGTCCAACTTCTGGCTTTGCAATTAATGGAGAAAGTAATGGAAGCATTGCCAAGTCATGTTACAGAACTAAAATAAAATACAATAATAAAAACTAAATTGGCAAAAAAAGCACAGAATTACTTTAAAAGTTTGGTTATGGGAATGATCTTATTAGAAAACCATGAAATTCTGTATCTTTTGTTAAAAGTGCTTATTGAAATGCTTTTTTTACCAGGTCCTACGCAGAAAATTATGACTTGCTTTCTTTATTGCTGTTATCAGCCAACTTGATTGATAAACACAGAAAGGAGGTTGCTTAGCACTTTGTCTTCTGCACAAACTAACCACACAGTGATTTTTTTCTCCTTTAGGAGAAAAGGACAGGGAGTGTGTAGTGCAAGTATATACCAAAAAAACAGTATATGGGGAATTCAACTTCCAATGCTTGTGGCTCATATATTTTGAGTAACTGTGCCTAAAGTATTTAACTGAGAAGCAGTTTCTATTAAAACTAAATATTTGAACTGTGGCATTTATATTAGATTACTTTCTATTTTTAAAATCTCTTATTTGTATTGGCAAAATAATGATTTTGCTGACAGTCTAATCCTGCTGAGTGACCTCTTAATATTCTTGGTCTAGGTATACTGACAGCGATCTAGACTGTTTTTTTAAAAAAAAACACTTTCATAGTTAAACACAAATCATGTTGATAAGAATGTTATGCATGAGGAGCAGAAATAGATTGTCACATATAAAACTCAGCCTGTAATTAGGGGTGTGCAGGGGAGGAGATTTCAGCTCCCTTTTTTTGATTTCAGCAACTTTTAGTTTTGGTAATCTAAACGGTGAAGTGATTACCTGGCACTTGCCAAATACAAAAAACTGCAGGGGAGTGTTAGTTTTTTAGACAGCAGAACTGCTAATTATTTGACATAATGTCAAATATCAATAATCTGATAAAACACTGAAATTATTTCTAGTGCTGGTTTCATCCCTTGGACCTGTCAAGTGCACATGGGCAAGGGGCAGCCCAAGAAAAAGCAAGTGCTGTCCTTTTGGTCTGTGAATATCTTGCATGTGAATGTCAGTATTTGAGAACTGAGCTCTGCTTCACTCTGTTGAACTCAGCTTTGCAGTCATTGAATTGGCTTGGGTGAAGGAAGATGAAAGAAATAAGCTTGCTTCTGAAATAGCTGGTGAACTCTTTTTGCTAATACTCTCTTCCCTCATCTCATATGCTGTTCGCTTTATGTCCAAATAGCACAGTTCTGGGAAGGATGCACTCATTGGATAAAAACTTCAGTGAGAACAGAAAATAAGTATCAAAGCAGCATAGTAATATTGAGATTGAAATAATATTGGTAAAGGGAGCTTGCTCATGTGGAATATTAGATCAAACCTGTTTCCGTAGACTTTCAAGAAAAGAGCGTCTTCTTCATGAAACTAGTGCATCTGGAAAAACTCTTGGCAGCATTCCTCCTTGTGCTACAGTTTCTGTATGTGAGCAGAAGCTGTTGGCTCTTAACTTCATGTTACTTCAGTTGTAGGCATCTGAATATGAGTGAACAGTGTCTGCAAATTCCTCTAGAGAAACTTCAATACTTGCATTAGAATGTTTTGAACAAGAATGTGTAAAACCATTTTTCTTATTTCCTAGGAGGAAGAGTTAAGAAAAAGTGGAGAGGCAAAGTATTTCCACCTAAATGATGACCTACATGTTTTAATTGAAGTATTTGCTCCACCTGCAGAAGCATATGCCAGAATGGGACATGCATTGGAAGAAATCAAGAAGTTCCTCATCCCTGTTAGTATTTTATTTTTTTTTATTGAGAATTCTGGTGGTCTTGAGTGAGAAGTTTTATCTTTAAAACTGAGTAAGCTTGTCTAGTGAAGGTGTCCCTGCCCATTGCAGGGGGTTGGAACTGGATGATGTTCCAGTCCAAACTATCATTCTGAACAGTCCACAGTATTGGTCAGGTCTTGTTACTTAATTTAATTTATGAAATAAATTGATTGTTAAATACTTTGCATTTTGATACAAGCAGTTGCTGGGTGAATGTGTAACTGTCCACACAGATTTCATGACCTGCCCTGTAGTAAAAGAGAAACTTATTCTTGCTTAACTAGTCATATGCAAAGTATCACTTTTAGACTGCAGATAATTGTAAAAAAAATCTATAAATGTGTGCCTTTTCTGGCTTCTTGGTACATGTGAAGCATCAATTCTGTTTAAGAATTAATATATTTGAAGCTGTAGTATTTCTCTCACCTGTAATCCTGGTTTAGTATTGAGTGCTGAGAATCAATACAGGTTTATCTTGTATCTTTATTTTTATCACAATACTAGTGATGCATTAGCTATACTTGCTTTCTGGTGTATACTTCAGCTTCTGTTATATGGATATAAGAAATGACATCTGGTTTCCAGTACAATTTTGTACTCCAGGATATATCTTGGTAATGGGTTTATAATGTCTTCCATCAGAAGATAACTTCATCTGCTCCTCATGTAAGAACCAACCTTACTTTGCAATATTAAACTGCTTGAAAAAAATCCAGCCTCTCTTAGGAAGCTCTGGAGCACTTGAGGTGATGTTTGTGTGTGAAGTTCCCAGCTATTTCAGCTCTTGAGTGAATATTTCTTCAGTCTATGTTGGTGATCAAAGGATTAGTATAGAAAGCAAAGCATTCTCAAGGTGCACTGACTTCTGTTTATTTTTACTGCTGAAAATGTTACCCAAGTGTTAATCTTTGTGTCAGATCAGGGAAGTGTGGGGACCTGGATAAGGAAAGTTTCCTGAGGCATGTATCTGAGTGACAGCAGCTTGTAAATGTCTGAGTGGAGCCAGCATGCTGTACTGGGGACCAGTTGGGGATGTCTCTTGTACAGCAGTTGGTGCTGATGGTTTAACAGTGCTCCTGTATGTATTTTGGGAATTACAGTTTGTACCAAACCTAGTCCACATCTATGAAACCACCCAGAGAGTGGTTGGGCACCACACCAGGGTCCCCAGGGAAATGGTCACAGCACCAAGCCTGACAGAGTTCAAGAAATGGACAGTACTCTCAGGCCCATGATGTGGGATTCTAGGGGTGTCCTGTGCCGGGCCATGATTTCGACTTGAAGGATCCCTGTGGGTCTCTTCCAGCTCAAAGTATCTCATGAAACTAGGTCCCAGGTGACTGGAGCTGTGTGCTCCTTGAGTGCTTCTTCTGACCTGTTTTTGTCTGAATGAAGCGAGTTCATGAGCCCCAGTACTACACCGTGGTATGAACCAGAGCAGGATAAATGACAGTTCACTAGGAATATGTCCTGATGTGAAGCAACCCTAATGCAGATGTACTTTAGGACAGTTAAAAAACAAAGATGTCCTGGGCATTATGTTCTCATAAAAAAATCAAACATCACTGTACATTTCTCTGCAGGTTCTAAATTTCTTTTTTCTTGATGCTTATGAAAAGAGCTGAATGAGCATACTACTGTTCAGGCATCCTAACTGATCCAACAGAGGATACTCAACAGAATATTTGTAGGAATGCTGGGCTGTCATAATGAAGGTTATTCTGTTTACATGATTCATGCTTTAAGGGGGTGGAGGGATAAGGGAGAATTAAGTTCTTGGCTATTCTAGACAGCAAACAGCTGCCCTTTTTTAAACAGAAATATGTTCAATTTGATAAATGCTTCTTGCATGTGCTGGAAGCAAGGATGTGTCTCATCCCCATGTCCCCTCAATCAGTTGTCTTTTTTTTCATTCAGCTTGATTTCCCTAATGTTGATATAAACGAAGTAATCTTATCAACACCTGGTCATTAGTGTGTTAAGCCAGTAGAATTATAGACTGATAATGAGCAATCTCATTGACTGGTGTTATACACTTTTCCATCTTTATTTTTGATCATTGCATCTTATACTGAGCTGAACTGATGCTACATAATCTTTCCTGAACTGTGGGATCAGGCCAACACTTTTAATTTCCCTTTGGCTTTTCAAACGTAAGCCTATCAGAATTGCTCTAAAAGCCTTACTCTCTTTCACCTCTCCCCTCCCCCCTTGCAGCAGCCACTGAAGGAGCAGCAGCTTTTCCTTTAGAAATAGTGTTTGGTTCACTGCTGCCAAATGCAACTTGGTTTTTATTTTCTCCAAGGTCTGTTGTGGCTTTCTTAAGAAATTACCTGTTTTATTTCAGGAAAGATGTCTTGCTATAAATATATATGATTATGATCATAATTTGCATTATCCTTACAATGTAGGGTCTCTATGACTTTCTACAGTTTTAGATGCTAGATCAAATTTATGAATATGATTATTGTTCATCTCTCAGATCAGTGCTGAACATAACATCACATTTGGTGCAAGAATACAGAATATCCCTGTGGTAGCTGACTATAGCAAAAATGCCTCAGTCTCTTTTTTGGGATCTTCAGATCCATGGGCAAGTATCCTTGCATTCAAGTTTAACCTCAAGCAGCTGCAGTGGTGTAATTTCATTTAAACTATTGGCATAGCTCAACCCAAAACATAAGAACTGGTTTTGAGGGTATTTTTGGCTGTGCTGATGTTGCCTTGAGTGTTAACTTTCTTCTGCAGCTAGAATTGTGGCTTCTGACTTTAAGTACATTCTTTCATTTTCTTTTAAATTAGCCAGTCCCTTTATTCTGGCCAGACTCTGGTCAGCACTCTTGTTTGAATATTAGATTGATGGGTGTTGTGCTTGATACTGGTTTTGAGAATTATTTCTGTCAGGTCAAAAAGCCAGGTACTTTCAACCTCATCCCTCCCTGGTTGCTGTATTATGCCAGGGTTTCAAGGCCAGGCTGGATGGGGCCCTGAGCAACCTGATCTGGTGGAAAGTGGAAAAAAAAACCTCCCTGCCTGTGGCTGGAGAGTTGGAATGAGATGTTCTTTAAGGCCTTTTCCACCCCAAACCATTCTGTGATTCTATGGTTATGGCAGTATGGACCGTTAGAACTTAGTCTGTTTTGCTTAACTTTTGAGTAGTGGCAGTCATTTGTCTTCTGACAGATATAGCACTCATTACCCTTTGCCACTGGTAACCAGAGTTTGTTTTCCTTGTCTTTAAAGCAAAATACAGAAATGTCTTTGAGAGAACAATCTATACCAGTTATATGACAATGTGAGCAGAATTCACAACCTTCTCCTGTAGCCTGTACCTTCTGCACATTTGGTTTGTAAGATGTGATTAAATAGCTTTTGATGGCATTTTGTAGAGCTTGGTGGCCTTTGGAATCTCTCACTTTTAAGGAAAGACTTTTCCTTAAGCTGGCAAGTAACTGTAAGGTATAAAAAAAGGTGTGTGGAAACCTGATAATTATTGATTGCTCACTGTCCAGGATAAAGATCTACTTGAGTGCTTTGCAAAGCTGCAAAGGGTTTTGTGGGGATCTGTCCTAACATGATATAAATAAATAGCATTGCTAATAGTTTGAGTGATAAATTGAAATAAGTTCTTAAGCTAGAGTGATCCCAAGAGATGCTGCCAATGTGTTGATGTGGCTGTGTGAAAATCATAGATAAAATTTTAAAGGTTTAGTTAGATCATGTAAGTATGGGGACTTGTGGGATGAAAATGTCTTGCATGGATCTTGATGTAAATGCAGCCTCCATGGCTAATGGATAAGACTGTAGCTAGTCAGGCTAGTCAATTTATTCATAAAATCAGAGTACACCTGTTCAATTGAAATTCAGCAGCAGCATTTGACTGAAATTCAAGTGCTGCTACTGCCTAAGATATTCAGAGGAGGGATGCAGTCTAAAGAGTTTCCATGTCCATCTTCTAGGTGAGGAAAAGATTGTCTGCTTAATTTGACTTGAAGTGTGCTATTTCCAGCAGTGAGTATTCATAAATTGACCATCTGCTACTTTTAATTGAGGAATCCATTTCAGTGTCTAATGGATTAACACTGCAGCTTATCGTGGCTGCCTTGTGCTGCCCCTTCACTCTGCATCCTCCTGCTGCCTCTGGTGTGTGTGATAAGGGCCATGTTTTCTGTTCTGTCCTGTGCACAGCAGAGCCCTTCTCTGTGACCTGAGGCTGCAGCTGTGTCTGGTAATGTGCTGCAGGAAAGTGAGAAAGTGTCAGGGAGAAAAGAAAAGGGACACAACACACAAAGTGGCAACCTGAGCATGTCTTTGCTAAGGAATTAAATTAACTGAGTATAAAATCATCAAAGGCATTTTTCCAGGGGCCCAGTTCTGAAAAAGATATTTTGTGAAGAAATTATAAAGGGCATCTGATACAGGCTGTCAGAACTTTGATATTGTATGTTGGTGGTACAGTTTCTTGGCAAGGTTTCTTTGTATTAAGGTTGAAATTTTTCTCTATACAGGGCATAGAATTTTGCATTTGTAGCCAGTTCTGATCCAGCAACAGATAAAAAATACAAAGTGGGTTTCTGTACAGTAGCTGGCCAGAATAGTGTTCAGTTTCCTGTTTGTAATCTACTCCCTGTGATGGATTGGCTATGTATTGGGTCCTGGGCATTTAATAATGAAATCTGTTTATCAAAAGCTTCAATTATGTCATTTGAAGCAGTTATTTCAGTCTTCTAGAGACCTTTCTCATATTTGGTTTCTGCTGATAAATAGAGGATGATCTCAGGTGGGCAGTTGAGAGTTAAATTTCAGAACCTATTTAAGGCAGTTTGGACAAAATGCTGTTACAGTGCTTCTTCTTTAAACACCAGTAACATTCTTCAGCAATGGCATATAAAGGACAACTTTATTTCCTTTTATAGAAGTCTAGGAGAAACAGAATGTTTCAAGGATAATTGAGAGATTTGAATTCATGGAAGTTTTAATCTTCATTCAATGCAGGGTTATGTTTCAAAGTCTGTAAGACTGCCTGACAATCTTTTGGTCCCTGTCTAGTGAATAAATGTAATAAACTCAGATTTGCAGTGAGATGCAGATTCTTTGTGTTGTCATTGAATTCTAAAATGGGTGGTGTTAGAATAAACCTTTCTTCTTGAAATGGGAGGATTTGCAGAAGAGCTGTTGTAGCTGGAGTATCCCTTTGTTCCTATGGGAGTACCTATTAATATTTTGATACTCAGTATGACTGCACTTTGGGAAAAATAGTTATCTTTAATTCACCTTTATGGCTGCATTCTGCATGGCTCACTTTAAGTGGAGGAGAAATGATAGAAAAATACTTCTATTTCAAGAGTTCAGTGCTGGGTCTGTGTTATTCCTGTGTGCTCTGCTTGTTTCAGAGGCTGACTCAAGGTCCCTGAAAACTTGTGCTTGAGAAGTACCATATTAATTCTGTATGTAAACACCTGAGCTTTCTTTTTGCTAGACCTTGAGAGTAGAGGATTTGTGCAGACAGAAACAAGTCATATGTCCTTGGCATTTTTACCATTGCATGTTACAGAATTTAATTTTTTGAGCTCTTCTTATTAGATAACAGTTCTTGTATGTATTTAATGAATTCATGTGTTTATTCTGTAACTCCTGACTTTTAAAGTGTGGATTCCTAATCCCTTCCTTCATTTTCATGTGCTGTTCTCATCAGTGTAGCTGTTCTGTACTCTTTTGCAGCTCTCTCTCTCTCCCCTCTTTTTTCTGATTTTAACACATAGTCATTCTACAGCTGGAACTACAAACTGGATCTCAGTTCAGAATATGGGATCTTGATATTTTTTTCTGGTGTTCTCCTATCTCTGCAGCATTTTAACATTGCCATTTTAATTGGTAAAGCTACATAAAAATATGCAAAGGGAAAGAAAAAAAACATGCCTGAACAAAAATGGCAGTTATTATGTAGAATTCTGTAATAATGTTTGGACTGAATGTTATTCTTATCTTACTATGCATATTAAACTTTTTCAGTGGAATGTTCAGCTTTTTAAGAGTTTGCTGAGAGAGGTGGGTAAACAATTTGATTTTTTTTTCTCACTCTGCCTCCCCCTTGTTTTAGGACTACAACGATGAAATCAGACAGGCGCAGCTTCAGGAATTAACATATTTAAATGGTGGCTCAGAAAGTGCAGAAGTTCCAGTTGTCCGTGGAAAAGCATCAATTCGAGCAAGAGGAGTACCTGTTCCTGCTTTGTCCAGGTATGTGGAATTTCATTTGAATGTGTTTCAAGCTTCTCCCTTCAAATAAAATTCCTCCCCCAGATATAACACAGTAACACACTAAAATACACGGATTCCCAAAAGAAGAGCAAAAGGTTGGGGAAATAACCTTTTTTTATTGATGAAAGTTGAGTTCATTTGGACTGAACTAACCATGGTCCTGTGGAACTTGAACACTGCCTTTGTCAAGAAGCAATGCACAGTATAGGAGATATTCAATCCTACTTGAACAACTTGATTTCTAGCCTTGTATTGCTACTTGGGTGCAGTCTGTGTTTGGAGTTCAAAGCAGGAAATCTGTGTTACCTGGATTGTCATGAATTTCAGGCAGTATCTCTGACTTACACAGTATGCTTTTCTTTTTTTATGTTACTGCTTTGTTTTCATAGTCATGATGAAATGATACAGAAGTGTGCTCTGGAGGTAGAATTTAGATTTTCTTGTCTGAGTGGCACTTACTTTGTGAAAAGTGGCTTTTGTTTGTTTGGGAGTAGGCAGCATCTACTGCTTTTTCTGTTTTTCTTTGTCACAGATGTTTTATTTTTACTCTAACATCCTCCATCTTCATTGTAGTACTGAGATGACAGTTTCAACTCCTTCAAGTTCTGAAGTGTGAAAACAAAACCTAAATAAAGTTCATAACTGTTTATATTACAGAGTACAGCTGTATTCTGCAGTACCTAAGTGTTGCTGTTAGCTGTGGTTATCTTTTGTTTTGTGTGCAGTTCTTGTTAATGCAGCTTGAAACTTGCATTTCTGAATGAAAGTTGTAAACTAATTTCTTGTTTCAGTGCATTTCTCAAACTAATTCCTGAATAATACCCTGAAGCATTTTACCTCAGGTGATAGTGTATCAGAAGAAGCAGCTCTAAGGAAATATTCCATTTATATAGATCTGCTTAGTTAAATGTATCCTGACAATAATTCAAATGCAATTCAAAGTGAATCTTAATTTAAAGAAATTATTCTTATTGTGGATTGTGTCCTGTGAGAAAAAAAATTCTCTCAATCATCAAATTGCTGTTCTTCTGTTTTGTAATACTGTGTAAAAATATATATGTATTCTGCTTTTCTTGATTTTAATGTTCTGAGTAATGTTAATTATGTACCAAGGTTCACCCCTTGGCACTGTAATCAGCCATACAAGAGTTCTTTCAAATTTTAGAGGAGTTCTTTTTTGCAGGTTTTTGTTTTGTTTTTAAATAGCTATTTGTAACTTTGTCACAGATGTCTGTAATGATTCTACTATGGATGCTGAGTACAGATGCATTTGCAGTACTATTTCAAGTTTGTTTCATTTTCCATGTCCTTCAGCTAATATTTCTGGGGCACAGAAGCTATTGTTTGGTCACATCCTGTCACCAAGGCACGATAACTACTTTACACTGTTAGTACCTAGTATGTGCATATGTAAATAGATTTTTAGAGGACTACATTTCTAGCATTGCCGGTTCTGTCCTCTGGATTTTGGTAAATTATTTTTTCAAATCTGCATTTTATGCAAGAGATACTGTTACACAGCTTACAGAATCCAGCATAGTTGGTCTACAGCTCTTGAAGTGTCTTCAGGGTAAATATAAATGTTATTACTGTTTGATTTGGAGGTGGCAGTAAAAGGTTGTTTTGTCATCACCATTTTTCACATATATTCTAAAGGAAAGTGGAAAAGTGTCTGTTTGACTTGTCCTTACTTCAAGGCTTATCTTAAACTCCAAGACACTTTTCTCTCAAATTGAATTGCTCTGTTAGCATGTTCCTTAAGTGAAGTTCAATTCTTTTGCTACTGAGATTGTACAGCCATTGAGCTGAAGATCTCAAACTCAGTTATAATGCTCTGATTCTTTTTTAGCAGAAATGGATTTCAATGGATAATACTTTTGTTGAAGCAAAGCTTTAAAGGCTTTGTCTCAGTGTTGGATAAAACAGTTTCAATAGGCAGCATCCCTGAGATTTCCAGGAGAAGTTGAAGCAAAGCCTCAGAAGACTCGCAAAACAAAGTCTAAAACCTTGATTCCAACCTTTCTTTGTGATCTGCAGAATGGTTTTATGATACCAGCCTTGATACGTGAAACATCTTGTTGAGTGTGTTTAAGTTCCCACTTTTGAAACCTTTATTACTCCTGAATAGTTTCAAAGGAAAAAAAAGTACTAATTTATGCCTTTTTTGCTCCTTATCAGACATGTGGCAACTGAATATAATACATCTTATCAAATCTATTTTTAGATCCATAACAAAATTCTTTGTATAGAATAGTACTTTTGTGTTTGCATACAAAAAACCTAGCTTATGTGCAGACATTCCTGTGGGGTAAGTAATTGCCTGTTGGTTGTGGTTTGGCAACTGTGTTCTTTTTTCTGGATTGTTTCAAATTTTCTTGACGAATTTTTTTCTTGCTGTAGAGTCAAGGAAGGTTTTGGGGGTAACTGGATGGAATTTATTCTGGGAGAGCTGCATGTGTGTTGCAAGCTTTACATTCAGGAATGTTCTTTTCTTATTGTTGATCTTGGAGGATACAGCTGCTTCCTTCAGCTATTTCCTTTTTCCCCACCTTGCCCCAAGTTTTTGTTCCTAATACTATTAAAGATGACCTTCAGATGTAATCACAGCACTTCTATTTTCTGTTCTGTTCATGCTGAGCAGTTAAACTATTTTGACATAATCCCACTTCTGTACAACAAAGAGGGAAAGTGGTAAAAGTCTATTTTCTGTTTGTTTTTATTATGATCTTAAAGTCTTTTCTGGAGGCAACTGTATAAAATGATCATACCAGTTGCTTTTTAATTTATTGTGATAGCAAGCTTAGAAGGATCCATGGTGTTTAATATGATAAGGTACAAAACTAGAAAATATAACTCATTAGGCATCAGTGTTTCTTCAGTGCATTTGTATTCCCATCTTGAATCAGTGCATTATAAATGACAGCAACCAAAATATGAATTTTTATTTCTGGTTAACTAAAGTCTTAAAACAAAACTAAACACTTAAACACGTGTTAATGTTCTAGTGGAAGGTGTCCCTGCCCTTGTTCCCAAGAGAGCTGGAATTTGATAATCTTTAAGGTCCCTTCCAACCCAAACCTTCCTATGACTTAATAGATGTTAATGTACACCTCTAAGGAGGTTTTGCAACTAAAACAGCCTTTCTCTCTAAAAGTTCTCTCTACTTCAAGAAAATAATAAATTCAACGATCACTCAATTGTTACTCCAACTCTGTTTTAGAAAAGTGAAATTCTAGAGGATGCTAATAACTCTCAGAATTTGGCTAAAAGTTCCTTAATGCCTTGGGGGGTGGCACAGAGTGAACCACTTTGTTCACTTATAGGTAGAAATCTGTGCTAGAATCACAGAATGGTTTGGGCTGGAAGGGACCCTTAAAGACCATCTCATTTCACCCCCTGCCATGGGCAGGGCATCTTCCCCTAGACCAGGTTGCTCAAAGTCCCACCCTGGTCTTGAACACTTCTAGGGATGGAGCATCTGCAACTTCACTGGGCCACCTGTTCCAGCATTGTCTCACCACCTTTATCATAAATTTCTTCCTTATGTCCAATCTCAACCTGCCCTCCTCAACTGAAAGCTGTTGTCCCTTGTCCCATCAGTACAGACCCTGATAAAGTTACTCTTTCTTATGAGCAGCTCCACTTAGTTACTGAAAGACCACAATAAGGTGGAGCTGCCTGATTTCACTCCCCAGATTGAAACAGATTGTATTTGAAAACAATACTCTTGTTAAAGAAAAGGCAGATTTCTGGTTTGTGCTTTCAAGAGGGTGTGCAGTTGATTATTTCTTTTTACTTTTCCATTTATTATTCATATTTCAGTCTGTGCATGGCTGGGGTCCTAATGGTTGAATAACTGTCACTGGGGAAAAATAAAAGTGCTGCAGGAGCTGTGAGTTAGAACTTGCTGTCTTACATGTTAGAAGTAAGATGAGCTGATGTGGAGCACTGCTGCATTGTGTTCAAACCTTCCAGCTGCTTTCCTGCCACCACTGGAATGAACTGGTTTCTTTTTTTGAAGAAAAACTTTTTCTTGAGAACATGTAGGTAGTGAAATGCAGAAGATTCTGTATCACAAAATTATTTCACAAAGCCATTTTGGGATCTAGGTCAAAGGCAGATACTATTATTTTTCACTCTGTTTTCCTTTGCTTTTGTGATCTCCCATTTTCCACAAAATTGAAGCATGACCATATGTGTTATTGTTTTAAAATATAAATATGAAATAAATAACACTCCTGTGTAAGAGTGTTAATTCACTGGTGGGATTTTTTTTTTTCCAAAAAGGATGAAAAGTCAGGAATCTGAGTTTTGAGTTGAATCCAGATATCGGTGTTTTAGTATTTTAAAATGCCAGCAATGAAATGACAGGTTTGTTATTTTTCAGACGTCTAATATAAAATAAAAGTATTTATTGTTTGAAGAACATTGCATGTAGCTGGCTGTGCTCAAATGCCAATAATATATCAGCATCTGGTAACCAAATCTGTTAGATCTATTTATTGTACAGTGTAAATCCCTGCTGATATATGGAACTATGAGTGCTAATATTAAATAATTTCAAATGTTTCCTCTTAAGAACTGGTCCTAAATTTTCAGACTATTTTTTATTTTAAAGCTATTCTTCCATTTAATGTTTCTGGGGGAGACACTGAAAAGGCTCTTCATACCATCAACTGTTCCAATTTTTTGTTTCACTAAAAGTGCAGGGAAGCTGTGAACTGACTCTAGTTGTGATTTCATGATCAGAATAATTTTACTAACTCAGCCATCCAGTGATAGCTAAAGTTGAAATAAGAATCAGTGTGATTCTAGAGCGGAGAAAGTGCTAAATTAAATGTGAAAGTGTCTATTGATGAGGGCATCTGGAGATGAATATGAGGTACTGTGCCTGCTTCTGTGGTCAAGGGCAGTAACTTAGTTTGCTGGAAGTAAATCCTAGAAACACTGTGGGACTACTAGAAAGCAAAAATGTCAAA